TATCTCTTCCTGTCCTTCCAGCTCCCAGAGAGTTCCTAATATGGCACTTTTGGTGCTGTATGAGGAAATATGATACTTAATAATTGTCTCCCTACTTGTTTGTATTTCTAACATCTTTTATCAAAAAGAAAATTGAGGGTTTTTTTTTTGGCTTTTTGAGACAAGGTTTCTCTGTGTAGTTTTGGTGCCTGTCCTGGATCTCGCTCTGTAGACCAGGCTGGCCTCGAACTCACAAAAATCCGCCTGCCTCTGCCTCCCAAGTGCTGGGATTAAAGGCGTGCGCCACCGCCGCCTGGCGGAAAATTGAGTTTTACATAGCTGGTTAGATACAAATAGTGCTCATTTCCCAGTTCAGAAATTATAATGAGTGCTTGTTAAAAATTTGGTATTAAGTTAATGTCTCAAAATAAAATCTAGATTAACCAGGCATGGTGGTGTACACCTTTAACCTCAGTAGGTTAATCTCTGTGAGTTGGAGGCCAGCCTGATCTACATAGTGAATTCCACCTAGAAAAAAAAACCCATAGAGATGAGAGTGGACGACTTTAGACTCTTTTGCTCTTCATTTGTTTGTTTGTTTTGAGAAAGGGTCTCATTATATAGTCCACAGTAACCTTGAACTCAGTCATCCATCCTCTTGCTCAAAAGTATCAAAAGTAGACAAGCGCTGCACACCCGGACATGATTGACAAATGAGTTGGAGAAGGGTAAAGGAAAGCTAGAGGATCTAGACAAAGAGACTAAGTCCTAAAATTGGAAAATTGGACTCTATCAAAGTACTGGGCAAAAAGAACAGTTATCCACGTAAGGAATCAGTCTAGGGAGACATTTTAAACAATAAGGGAGAGGGGCCTGAAATGGCTCAGTGGTTAAGAGCATTTGTTGCTCTTCCAGACCTGGATTCAGTTTCTAATGTCCATAATGGTAGCTTACTTGTAACTCCGGTTCAGGGGATCCAGCGCCCTCTTATGACCTCTGCAGGCACCAGGCATGAAAGTGCACGTACATACATGCGGGCAAAACACCCATACATATACATTTTTTAAATGATTTAAAATTTTTAAAAAAGAATAAGGGAAACATGAACAGGGAGGGTGTGAATAAAGAAACACCTAAGGACTGTGACAAGACTAAAAGCACCTTTGTGAAGTTAAGTGGCATGGACGGTGGTAGCAGTCATTTTTTTTTTTTATTTTCAATAGTTGTTTTATTTTTTTTTAATTTTTATTTTTATTTTGCAATACAATTCAGTTCTACATATCAGCCACCGATTCCCTTGTTCTCCCCCCCTCCCGCCCCCCCTCACCTTCCCCCCAGCCCACCCTCCATTCCCACCTCCTCCAGGGTAAAGCCTCCCCCGCGGACTGAGGTCAACCTGGTAGACTCAGTCCAGGTAGGTCCAGTCCCCTCCTCCCAGGCCGAGCCAAGCGATCCTGCATAGGCCTAGCGCAGTAAGCAGTCATTCTTAAGAGGTGTAGAGGAGCAACAATAAAAGTTGTGTTAGCTGCTTACTTCTTATCCATTAGTCAAGTTAGAAGTTCTTCTTCAACGCCATTGCTCCATTTGGTCATTAAGCAACAATCTTCCTCTCTGGGCCCCAGGGCCAGTCTTTGGTATGGAGCCAAAGGTCACCTCTTTCCAGCTGTCTCTGAGCACTAATCCTTGCCTTCCCTGAGTTCCATTTCAAAAATGAAAAACAAAAACCTTGCCTAACTGGTTTTTGAAGAAGCAGTTCTACTTGCTGTTTCTTTTTATCTTTTGTTTTCCAACATTTTTTGTTTTTAACATTCAACTTTTGTTTTGAAGTAGATAATCCATTTACAAAGTTTAAAGATCAGAACTTTAAGAGGTATGAAGTTCCATTCTCATTATTTTGCTGTTTGAGGGTTCCATTTTTGTCAGTCATACTTCTGGCCCCCATCACCTTCATCTACTTCCTTCCTGTATATAATTTCCTTTCCTCTTTCAGTGGTTCTTATAAGAATGGGTTTCATCATGACTTTTCCATACATGAATACAAGGCATTTTGATCAGATTCACCATTACCTTCTATTGTACCCATCCTACTTCTGTTGATCTTTCCTCTTCCAAACTAATCCCCATCTGCTTTTGTGAGTGTGTGTGTGTGTGTGTGTGTGTGTGTGTGTGTGTGTCAGTGACTTTAATAAGGACTATTGACAGGAACATGGGTAACTTAGCAGTGGTTCTTTATGTAAAACACACATAAACAAACTTACCATCACCCTGTTGTTTTTTTTTTTTTAACAAAGGCGTACACAATGGGCACACTATTTCAGGTCTTGGTTTTGTAACCTAACAGCAAGATTTCTTCTCAGTAAAAAGAGATCTTTGGTTTTTGTTGTTGTTTTGAAGTGGGATCACCCTTTCTTTGATTCACTCTTTTACTTTTAATGTTTTGCACACTCAACATGTATAGGCTTTCTAAGTAGAGGGTCACATATACTTTGAAAAATACTCTCAAGTTATTTTGGCACATGCCTCCCTCTAGAATAGTGGCAAGGAGACATACATTGGTTTATACCTCAGCACACATACTTATTTCCTCGGGTAATTCCAGTCTTTAGAGGAAAAGTAGCTCAGGATTTGTCTTCTCTTCTCCCCAAGCTCTCTGCCTAAAGGGGATGTTACACTGGGCTGGGAAGGTTCTTTGGCAGTAGGCTAAATACAGTCACAGAAAGTGGAACTTCCAAAGAATTAAAGTTATGTGGTCATTTTCATCTGTCTGGGTGTACCCTTTTGCTCAGGCCTCCCTTTGAAGTAGCTATGCCTAGAATCAGAGACTGTCAGCTTCAAGACAACACTTTTTCCATTTTTTCCCTCTAGCACTCATAGGTAAGACCTTGTTACATCTGTGTAAGAAGAACCAAACATAGAATATGGGCTTTGAGCCGGGCGGTGGTGGCGCATGCCTTTAATCCCAGCACTCCAGGAGGCAGAGCCAGGCAGATCTCTGTGAGTTCGAGGCCACCCTGGGCTACAGAGTGAGTTCCAGGAAAGGCGCAAAGCTACACAGAGAAACCCTGTCTCAAAAAAACAAAAGCAAAAACAAAACAAACAAAAAAAGAATATGGGCTTTGACCTTACATCCTAATAGATCCCCATTACCCAATTTCAAGTATGTGAGACTGAACAAAGAGGGTATTTGACCTAAGTTTTAATTTCATCTGGCAAAATGGAATCAATCATACAGACTTTACACAGTGGATGTAAAGATTAAGTGACAAGATATGCAAAACACTAACACAGTGCCTAGCTATCATGCAAGTGCTCAATAAAAAAGGTGATGTTACTGTTATTGATGAGTACAATATAATGTTTGAAAGTAGAGGCTTTGAGGGGCTGGAGAAATGACTTAGAAGTTAAGAGCACGGGCTCTTAACTTCCAGAAGTTCTGAGTTCAAGTCCCAACAACCATTTATAATAAGATCTGGTGCCCTCTTCTGGCAAGCAGGGATACATGCAGACAGAACATTGTACATAATAAATCTTAAAGAAGAGGAGGAGGAGGAGGAGGAGGAGGAGGAGGAGGAGGAGGAGGAGGAGGAGGAGGAGGCGGCAGCGGCAAGTAGAGGCTTTGGAGTTAAACTGTTCTCTCAGTGAACTTGGTCCAGAGTTGGCTGATCGTTTTTTGTCACAGGTAAGTTAACTAACCTCGGTTTCCTCAATCATAAAAACATGTAGATGTAGAATCTCTCTTATTTGTGGAGATTTCATTTGTAAGGTGCTTAACACTGAGCCCAATATCTAAGTAGCTCCTGTACCTTAAATGCATTTTAAAACCCAAACCCAACTAAACTTAAATGATTTATGCTCCTTCAGTTAAAGTAGGAGGTACCTCTTCATATATTTTCTTATAAACAATTTACTTATAAAAAGTGCATGTACAGTATGGCACATTTGAAATGTGTTGCGAGTAAATCTCATGTTGTATTTTTTCCCTCACAGTTTGAAAAAACTGTACTCATGGAAAAAAGAGTTTTAGAGGGTAACATTCTGAGCATGTACTACATGTCCTGAGGCTTATTTTTTCCTTGTATTTAATGTTAACATAAAAATAATCAGAACAGCACCTATATGTTGTACTGTCTACCAGATGCAGTGTGAGCAATACTATATTGGATTCAAATACTGCCCTATCTAGACAGCACTGCTCTAACCTTTGATCATTTATTTGCTCTACAAATACATGTGAACACCAAAAGATTTACTATGCCCCTGACAAAGACGTGTAAAGGATGGAGTAAGCATTTTTTCCCTTTTGAACAGCTGAGCCCTGGCTCAAGTCAGAGGTGTCTGACTCCAGATCTAACCACTGCATTTACGCACATGGTTGTCGTTTCTTTTCTTTATTTCTGTATTATGCTATATTTAAAATAGTAACGGGAAGAGGGTAATCATATGCTTTGTGGATCCTGGTTGCTACCACAGACTAAATGTAATCACCTTTTAAAGTAACAAAATCCAAGAGTCAGATAGAGACTTGAATGTATTTATACTGAGTAATGGGAAGAAAAACTAAAATAAATAAAAGTAAATTATGAATTTGGGGTTTTAGTTTTCTTATAATGTTTAGACTTACAGCTAAGCCTTCACTCTAGAAAAAAAATAAGGCCCCAAATCTGGAAACGCTGAGCTTTCCTGGACAATCACACATGTTTTACGGATATCTAAGCTCATATCTGAACATCTGAAGTAGAAAGATGTCAAAAGATACAGAGGGTGACAGATCTAAAGGGACCAAGTAATCAACTTCTCCCTTATGTCCAAAGCAAGTAGCTGACTGTTCTTTATCTTAATTCAGCCTAGCATCAACAAATCACCTAAGCTTCAACATAGAAACACATCAGATAAAAATTTAAGTCAGAAATATCTGTGATCTTGTTTCTAGTGAACATCACTGATATTCTTAAAGCTTCCCAGGAGCCTCTGTGGACAGAGATGGTAGTTATTACTTTAACACAAAAGAAATAAAAAACAAGTTTAATGTTGAAAAGTGTTTGTTTTTAATTCCCAAACCAAGGAACGTGCATGAAGAGAGGAATTAATTACACAAGAAGCTAAAATTGTATAATAGATGGTGGATAATCTAATCAAAAACATTTATTAAACACAGATCACATTATTGGACACTAATCTACTCCCTATGTACATAATGACGTCTGAGCTTTGATTCTAGAGTTTGGGGTCAAATAATACAGAATGGGCTTTTCATACATTAGTATAAATGCACATAAACACCTGAATTACCTGAATAATATATTCATAGTTGTTTAGTCAACAGGTCTAGAGTGGGGCTTATTCTATCCAGTTCCTAGGTGATGCAGATGCTAGACTAGAAATACGAGTAGCCAGACAGGCATAGAAACGGGTCCTTGGAAATCTCTATGGAGCATCATGTGAGCATCAAGCAGGGACCAGGTCTTTCTGTCTGTGATTGTTGGAAAGGGCTTCATATGGGAGGTTGAAGTGTTGTTCCCCTAGTAACCACAAGGGGACAGCAAGGAGGCCTACACTGCAGTTCAGTGACTATGGTATGAGCTGGATAGGCCATCCAAACTTTCTGACCTTCAGTTTTCTTTCTCATCTGTAAAATAAAAAAATTGAGAACATTAGACTCTTCACAACCCTAAGAACTAATACTAATGAGAAATAAGGATGGCATGTATCTCAGTGGCAAAGTACTTGCCTAGCAAATGCAAAGTCCTGGGCTCCATCCCCAAACTTAAAACTAGTTGTAAATCATTTACTATCTGTTAATAAGTTAAAGAAGAATAGTATAAAATATTTCATTAATGAGCCTAACAAAGCAAACTACATTTTACAATTGAAAGTGAAACATGCTGTAAGAGAACAGCACTTAAGCCCTAACTGCCACTTATACTTTTTATTCCCTACTCAACTGCCTAGTTGTGGTGAGGTACACGGCCCATACCACTAAACTGTTTTAAAAAGCATCATATCCACTTTGTTCATCACAATGATACTTAACATTTATAAGTTACCTTTCACTTTCAATGGACAAAACAAACATCAGTTAATTAGTTGTCCCACAATTGAAGTTATTTTTCATTAGTCTAATTACAAGTGGACCAGATTAAACTGGAGCAGTGAAGGCAGGTGACAGGAGGATCAGAGTCAGGATGAGAATGCTGAAGGCTCTACCAATTATGTTCGCTATTTATAGGTGAAAATGAACCACCACCAAGAAAGTGAGAAATCACTAAAAAAACCAAAAAGGAAAAAAAATCAGTTTCTGAACATCTTACCACTAAGGGCCACAGTGTCATAAGCAAAGGGATGACCTATAAATGGCTTATCTCTGTTCCTCCCCTACATTCTGTATATACCAAGAAAGAAAAACAAGTCAGCAGCGAAGGAAATACTTCACTTATCAAAAAGGTTTTCAACTATTAAGATTTATGCTGATGTTCCAAATACCTGAGGAAAACCAACTTTTAAGGAGGAAACTTTATTTCAGTCCATGTTTTCAAAGGTTTCAGTCCATGGCCAAATGATCAACTGTTTTCAGGTCTGTTGCAAGGCATCATGGCATGGAATTGGAAATACAGTAAAGCTGTTTACCTAATGGTGCCTGGGAAGCGTAAAGAGAAGGGGAAGGGGTGGTAGTCCAAATATCCCTTTGAAGGGCATATCAGCAATGACCTTCACTAGACCCTATTTCCTAAAAGTTCCATCACCTCCTGGCAGCACCACAGACAGGCTGGTGACCAAACACATGGACTTTTAAAAATTGTGTATAGCTGGGCAGTGGTGGTGCACGCCTTTAATTCCAGCACTTGGCAGGCAGAGGCAGGTGGATCTCTGTGAGTTCAAGGCCAGACTGGTCTATAAAGCAAGCTCCAGGACAGCCAGGCTGTTACACAGAGAAACCCTGTGTCAAAAAACCAAAAACAAGTATATTCTTTGTAATTTCATATATTAGTACAATGTATTTAGATCATATCCACCACCCCCAATTCTTCCCAGGTCCCCCACCACATTCCCCTTTCAACAGTTAGGGGCAGAGTCTCATAAGCCCTACCTTTATCCATGTTGGAGTGTTGACTGGCTTGATCTTGTGCAAGTATCAGGCAGGCAATCACAGCGTTGCAAATGCTGGGCAGGCAACTACAGTTGCTGAGTTTAGGAGTGTAAGGGCTCTGTTATGTTCCGAAGACACTACTTCATAGTAGTCCTCCCTGCCCCTCTTCCTCAATGTTCCCTAAGCCTTGGAGGGGAAATATAATACAGATGTCCCAAACATGGACCTTCTAAAATTTTTATTATTGTCAGAGGGCATACATGTCATGGCACATGTGTGGAGGTTAGAGGACAACTATGTGTAATTGATTCTTTACTTCTTCTACCTTTATGTGGGTTTAAACACAGGTTGCTAGTCTTGTACAGCAAGCCCCTTTATCTACTGAGCCTAACACATGGACCTTTGAGAGATACTTCAGATTGAAGCTATTATACATGACTATCATTCACACAAAGGCTGGCTTTTTCAGTGTTATACTTTAAAAAACACTGTTTTAAGGATCCTGTGCTGTTTTTGAAGTAGTATTTATGGACAGTATTTATGGACACAACACAGAAATCAAAAGATTGCAGGGAACCCAATCCCAATTGATACATCTACATCACACCTCCTGCATCTATTTTTCAAACATTCATTCTTTGGGAATTTCATGTGATACATTTTGAACATGTTTACCCTTTTTGCCCAACTCCTTCCATAACTGCCCTCCCTATCCTCCAATTCCTACTCATGCAATTTTGAGATTTTTTTTCTCCCATCAAGTCCAGTTTGTGTTGCAAGATGGTTTTGGGAGTGTGGCTTGTCACAGCCTATGGTCAACCTACCAGAGGTCACATCATTAAAGAAACCTGATTCTCTCTCTTAGCAGCTATCAAATGCCAATAGCTTCTTAGCTAGTGGTGGGATTTTTGTGTCCACCTCCCCCCCCCCTCTGTGCTGTGATCTTTTGTCTGGCTGGAGGTTGCACAAGACTTGTGCATGGTGTCACATCACTATAAGTTCATGTGTGCAATTGCCTGCCTGTTTGTATCCAGAAAATAGTTTCCTTGATGTTATCCACCACCTCTGGATCTTTCCAACTCCTCTTCCAAGAAGATCCCCGAGCTTTGGAGGGAGGGCTGTGATGCAAATGTCCCATTAAGGACTGAGCACTCCACAGTCTGTTATTCTGCATGTTAACTAGTTGAGGGTCTCTGTGTTAACTGCCATCTACTGCAAAGGAGATGCTTTTTAAAAGATAAAATGTTTTCTAGAATTTTTTTAAAAAAAGATTTATTCACTTATGTATATAGTGCTCTGTCTGCATATATGCCTGTATGTCAAGGACAGGAAATCAGATCTCATTATAAATGGTTGTGGGTTACCATATGGTTGCTGGGAACTGAACTCAGGACCTCTGCAAAAGCAGTCAATGCTCTTAATCTCTGAGCCATCTCTCCAGCCCTTCAATGGGTTTTGAAGGCATCTTGATTCTAGAGCTTGGAGAACTAACAGTATAGAATGAGCATCTTAAATTTTCATATGCATTAAAATCACTTTCCCTTTTTATATAGAAAACTTAAATATAACTTTTATGAGAAAAACAATGTTTAGACATCAAGAAGTATTCAACAGGAAGTAATTTTATTATTGTGTTGTCATTTCTGCTTGTTCCCAATGCTCCGAATGTTCTTATTGTGCTTGTAGAACCTTTATAAGTAGAAATAAACATAATATTATATTTTTTAAAACTAATTTGCACTTTCAGTATTTGTTTAATGAGCTAGGAAAGGAGTACAAAGGTTGATAGACTTGACAATAAAAATACCATCTACTTTTATAAACCTGAAAGAAAGTTTATCACAATTCTTTATTTTTTGAGACAGGCGCTCACTATGTATATAGCCCAGGCTGGCCTGGTACTCAATGCATAACCTACACTAGCCTTGAATTCCCAAATGCTGGGATTACAACTGTATATGCTACACCCAGCTTTTTTTAAAAATATGGAAGAGAAAGATGCCTAATCTTAGCAAATATTCAGTCATAATAAAATGTGACTTATTTTAGCAGAGAAAACATTATGCTAGAAATTCCTTATATTAAAATGTTTCTTTTCACTTCTTCAGAGTACCTTGTGTATATACACATGCACATATATACATCAAACACATATACACTCACTCAGCATATAGTTCATTTCTCATTAGTAGGAGACATAGATTAGACCACTTTATTTTGTTTTTAAAATTAAAAATTGTATAATGAAACACCCAAAAGCAAAATAAAAATTGTATCAAATCTTGGTACATGTATGAATAAATATAGAAGTACTCATCAAAAAGTGTTAACCCATTTTAAATTTTTAACATTTATTGCAAAGCACATTTTATAAACACTAGATAAATTTACATATAAAAGCTACACATAAATATACAGATCCAAAAGAAAAATAGCAGTACTATTAATGCATGAGAAATAAACTAAGATATTTAAACAAATATGACAATAAAAATCATTTTCATTGCTATTTATTTTTCATGAATTAAAAACTACTCAGAAATGAAATGTAGTTAGTATATCATGATTACTACCAAAGTTTAGAATTGCAGAAACAACTAACATAGAACTAATTATTTTAAAAATCTTTCAAATATTCAATAGCCAACTGACAATTATTAATGTCAATAAATATCCAACATCAGTAAAAGTTCTTATCTAACTGCGTAGACAATATTAGGCTTTGGTTAACAGGCTAAATTTGGTGGGAAAAATCTTAAATTAATGTCTCATTTACATTTATTCCTGAGTTTTTGAACAATGCTACAGATAAGATAAAAAACTCAATGTATAGCTTTGTATAACATTGCATTTTAGTTCTAAAAAACAAGTATTGAGATTATTTTAAATGTGAATCATGACATTTAATAATCAAGACAGAAACAAATGTATTTAATTTAGCTTAGCTCAGGGAAACATTAATGCCTCTGACCACAATTTGCAAAGATTATTTGTAAAATATGATAGAAATTCTATTATACTTTCCAGCAGTTTTATTTGCACCTTATGAGATCACATTAACTTTGTAGATGTTGCTTTTATAAAAGAAATGTTCAAATGAAGACAGTCAGCACAAAGCTAGGCACAGTGTAGGTGCTTGATATTATTCATTTAAAATAACAAAGTATTATTTCTACATATTAACAATTCAACACGGTAGTTATAAGTTGACTTAAAGCATTTTAAACATGAAAATACACTTTTAGTAACAACCATAAAAGGAATTTTTTACAAGTGGTCATTTTCAGTCTCAGTTTTATAAAAATAGTTTCAGATTCCTTTAAATGGGCCTAAGAAAGCTGTTTCTATTTGCTGCTAAATGTGATAAGACCAACCTATCAACACCTTCAGAAGTGATTAGTTTAGATGACAACACACCCTAAAGCAGTTTCCCTTGAGAACTGAATCTGTGCATCTGAAGACTGGATCCACCAATGTGTATTTCTGAACAATTCTCATACCTCCTGGACAATTACTATGAACAGATAGATTTGAGAAATAATGATTTCAGGTAACCAAAACTTTTATCATACTTGAACATTACACAAGTAAAAAAAAGGTGGAGATTTTGAATAACCTGCCTAGCTTATTATCAGACCTTACCCAAAAGTATTCCTTACCTAAAAGTCACAGGTTTTGCTCTAGGTCTCTTAACAGTCACAAGAGCTATCAGACAGTAATCACCTCTGTCAAATTTGCTAGTGATTGGTGTTCTATAGTTTTATGTTGCGTATACTTTTTCTTACTAGGAAACAGAAGAATCATCTAGCAATTGTATTTAAAAAAAACAGCCATACTATTTATGAAGTAGTTAGTTCTTAAAACAGCAATGCCAGCATCAGTCAGAAGTATTTGCAATGCTGATTATTGAGTATCTTAGTTTTTTCTTTCTTTTGAAATAGGGTCTCACTATGTTGTCAAGGCTAGTCTTGAACTCCTGAATTCAAGAGATTCTTCTACTTTCACAACTCAAGTAGCCTGGGACTACAGATGACACTACCACACTCAGCTTTCAAATTCCCATTTCTTTAAAAATTTTCAATTTACAAAATAGTATGTCAACTTCATGTACAAAATCTCATTAGTCATATAATGCAAGAAGGAAATGATTATTTAACTGGATATGCATTTTTGAAAAAAGTGCATAGGTTTATTTATCACCTAATAACAAATTCCTCTAAATTAAAAGAGAAAATAAGTAACAAAATACACAATCAAATGAATACCATAGAGCAGCACTAAGGAAAGTTGGAAAGTTTAAATTATCAGAGATTTGAAACATTTTAATTAATATTAAAATTGTGAACTGATAACCACTTGTTTTCTTTCTTTTTTTAAATTTTTTGAGACAAGGTTTCTCTGTATAGCACTGACTGTTCTGGAACTAGCTCTATAGACCAGGCTGGCCTTGAACTCACAAAGATCCGCCTGCCTCTGCCTCCCGAGTGCTGGGGTTTAAAGCGTGTGCCACCACCACCCGGCTACTTCTGTTTTCTTTTATATGAAAAGAAATAAAACTGAAAACTTATTGAAGGAGGTTAAATAATTTATAAGATGATTAAAACTACTTAATTTAATGAACTATTTTAGATGCTCAAGTAAATGATATGGTATTCAAAGAGTTACTTAAAAAAAGCCTTTAACAATTTTAGCATTAGTAAAAATTACTAATGGCTTTAGAGTAATATACATAAGTATATTATCAAACTCTATATATAAAGGTTGGAAAGGACTTAATACCACAATCCGCTTCAAATCCCCATCTGTATCTCAGCAAAGTTATAGAAGCTGTCAACATCTCCAGATGCTGTCTCCTTCTTTTCTGATACAAACATCTATTTAAAATACAAAATGAACAAAAAATTAGTTCCGTAGCCCTTAAATACCACAGGCCACATCTTTACAGAACAAACTCACGAGTTTAGGGTTTTATTTTTTAACTTTATTTTAATTTTATGTGCATGCATTTTTGACTGCATGTATGTGTGATGAGTGTTGGATCCCCTGGAACTGGAGTTACAGAGTTGTGAGCTGCCATGTGGGTGCTGGGAATCAAACCTGGGTCCTCTGGAACCCAGTCAGTGCTTTTAACCACTGAGTTATGTCTCCAGCCCCCCAGGATTTTATTTTTTAAGAATCTTTTAGATTTATTTCTTTATGTGTATGAATGTTTTGCCTGCAGGTATGTATGTGTACCACGCACATGCCTGGTTTTCTCAGAGGTCAGAAGAGGCTGTTGGACCTCTGGAGCTGGAGTTACAGATGATACTGAGCCTATGGGTTAAAGAATATACTATAGATACAAGTACTATTTGGTTGTAAGGGAAAGGAGATAAAACAGAAACTTAGATTGAGATATAGTCAGTAAGATCTATACCTTTGTCCCATTGAATATCTCATTTACAATAAGGTGACATCCTTCTACAGCACCATCTCCATTAAATTCCAAGGCAATCACTGGACCTAAAAGGAACCCCAAGAAATGTTTTCTTAGCATGAATACAAATATATTGTAAAACTAATTCTTGCATTTCTTTTGTTTTAGATTTTTGACATAGTCTCACTATGTACACCTGGGTGGCCTGGAAGGCACTATGTAGACCTGACTGCCCTTGAACCTTTCTCCATCTTTCTGTCTTTACCTCCTGAGTACTAGGATTACAGGTATGCACTACACCCAGCACTCATTTTTTTATTCTTCCCTGAGAAATTTCCAGTATCTTCATCAGGTGGGAAAGAAGAAGGAGGTAGATAGAAGGGCACATCACTTCAGCTTTTTTCCACTATCCCTATCAATAAAACAAATAAACACTAAGTCTCATCCTATGATGAGCAGTTCTAATTCTATTATAGGACTAGTGTCACATTTTAAAAAATTATGTATGTGTGTGGGTATGACCATGTGGAGTGCCTTGTGGAGTACAGAAAAGGTCAATGGATTCCCTGTAGCTGGAGTTACAGACAGTTGTTTCTGAGTTGCCAGATTTGGGTGCTGGTACCTGAATTCCAGTTCTTTGCAAGAGCAGTAAACATTCTTAACTGCTAAGCCATCTCTCCAGCTCCCTTACTGTCACATTTTCAACTGTTGGAAATTGTCTGGTTTCTTTGGTTTTTATTCTTCTTTTTAAAACAAAACAAACAAACAAAACCAAAGAATCTCCACTCATTTAGCAGTACAAAGACTAGTGGGCAAAATACCAAATGAGAGAAAAACAATCCACGTCAACATACACAAGTCTTACCAGGCATCCTGCCTTTCTTCCAGCTCCCCTACTTACCATCCAAGTTCTAGCCCACCAACTATGGAAATTAACCAAAAGGGAATTGAGGCCAGGCACCAAAGCAATACCTCTTTGAAAGAATTTTCCTTGAGTGTGTCTTAAAGCTACATTTCTTTCTTTTTTTGTTTGTTTGTTTTTAAATTTTTATTTATGTACATTGGTGCTTTGCCTCCATGTATATCTATCTGTATGAGGGTGTCAGGTACCCTGGAAATGGAATTTACAGACAGTTGTAAGCTTCCATGTGGATGCTGAGAATTGAATCTGGGTCCTCTGGAAGAACAGTCAGTGCTCTTAACCACTGAGCCATCTCTCCAGCCCCTTAAAGCTACATTTTAAAAGCAAAGATCAAATTTTTATTTTTAATCCTCTGAATAGAAAGATTTGCACCTCTTTTCCCATCCATTAATTTGAATGTTTTTAAAACCCCCTATGACTTACATTTTGGGTTAAAGATTCATGATTTAATCTTTGGTAAACCTGGACTATAACACAGATTTGTTGATAAGCATGGCCAAGGCCATGAAAATGTGCACTTCAATTAATGTTTATTCAGCTATCACTATATTCCTAACAGATCAGCAGTTTATTTCCTATGGTGATGGAGAAGTTTTGACCTCCAGGAATTTACAAATGGGCCTTGAAAATAGATATAAACTGATTAAACAAACATAAAACAATATAGAATAATAGAGTACTAAGTATGAAATACTAAAGTGAACAAATATGAAATGCTAAGTATAATGTAGTTCTGTGTCCTGGACAAAGCACAAGAATGAGAAAGATCGTATTATATTTGGCACCTAAATAACTGGAGGGTTGCAATTTAATACAGAAACATACAGGAAAGGCAAGCAATATAGTAGTCAACTGTACAATCACCCAGACTTAGAGAGCAAGCTAACTATGAGTTCACAGCACCACAGTATCTGTAGATTATGATAGGTACTGAGTAAAAGAAAAGGTAACAGCTTACATTTTCTTACTCTTGGCAAAAAGGCTCTGTGGAAAATGTGAGTGATAAGAAGAGGGTATCAAATGAAACTTTGCAAGGAGGAATAATTCTAAAGGTAGCCTTCTAGGAAAAAGTTCTTATGTTAGAGAACCTACTCCAACCCAGAGACCTGTTCAAAAAGCTTGATTGTGATGTAAAGGGGGAAATATAAGACCCCCACAAAATGTTTACCTATTGAAGGAAAGTGGGGCGGGGAGGGAGTCAAGTGTTGTGGCATGGGTGCAGGTAAAAATTCTCTCAATGTACCCGTTTATATAACTTGACATTGGAAAGAATGTCAGTATCTCAAAGCTAAAAGTAAATGTGGGGACAAGAGCAGTTCTAAAACTTATAAGCAAACTAAAATAAATGAGTCTATCAAGTTAGTGATATGACCATACAAAGACTTATTCTAAGCAACCTTAGAAGGCAATGTTTTGTCTGTATACACTCAGTGGTATATGGCCTAAGGACAAACTTAAAACTTCATTAATCTTACTCTTGTAGTAAAAGATGCTGTTTATTACAAAACCATTATGTTAAAACAATATTGTAAGAAACCGAAACATTCAGAAATATTATAAAAGAAAAAAATTACCTAAGTCTTATATTGGCTATGAGCCTGTGTAATTTTTTTTGTAATTGTGTTTTTGTGTAATTGTGTTTGGATTTTAGCCCATGTGTTAAAAGCTTAGTTCCCAGCCCAAAGCACTATTTGAAGGTATTAGAAACTTTAAGAGATGGTGCATAGTGGGAGATTTTATGTCTTTGGGGACATACCCACAAAACACTGTGGGGCCTCATCTCTTCTTCCTTTTGTTTCAGGCACAGGGTGAATGGGCTTCTTCCTGACATGTGTTCCCATCACAGTGTACTGCGCCACTGAAAGCCCACAAGAACAAGGCCAATCAGTCCTAGACTGAAAGCTCCAAGAGTTGCAAGTCAAAATAAAACTTTTCCTTTCTACTAAGTTGATTATTTCAGTTATTATTTTTTATAGCAATGGAAAACTCATGAACACATTTGGTAACTGTGAAAGTAAGGTGGTAGTTACAGGGCTTTGTTACATTATCAATCTACCTTTTTTGATTTTTTTTTCTTTTTTGAAACAAGAGTCCCACTACTTAATTAGCACTGGCTGGCCTGAACTTGGTATATAGACCAGGCTGGCATCAAACTAAAGAGATCCACCTGCCTCTGCCTCTAACTTCCAAGTCCTGGGATTATAAGCATGTACCACCATACCAGGCTCTTCTGTCTACTTTTGTTTTTCCCATGACAGGGTTTTTCTAACACCTCTTGCTGTCCTGGAACTCGATTTGTAGACCAGGCTGGCCTCGAACTCACAGAAATCCACCTGCCTCTGCCTCCTGAGTGCTGGGTTTAAAGGTGTGCGCCACCACTGTCCAGCACTTCTGTCTACTTTTTGTATGTAAAAATTTCCCCATTAAAACAAAATACCTGAGAGGTGTAGTTAGCACATGTCTATAATCTTATCACTCAGGAGGTAGAAGCAGGAGGATCAGGAGTTTGAGGCCGGTCTCAGCTACATAGTGAATTTGAGGCCAGTGTCTTGTCACATAGTCCAGGCTGGCTAACAACTCACAATCCTTCTGCCACAGCTTCCTGAATACTGGGATTACCAATGTGCACCATCTCATATGCAGCCAAAATATCTTGTTGAACCAAAAAGCACTGAAATTATCCAAGGCCAATGGAGTATATTAAAAGGATACAAAAGACAGCCTGAAGGGGTTACCAATGGTTAAACATGAGACATGGTGAAATCAGAAGAAATAATTACAGCTTATTAGAACACACTGAATATATAAAAATCCTTGAGTTCGCAATGGTATTTAGACCAAAAAGGAACAAAACTCACTAGACACTACTGGGGGTTGCTAGGGTGCCAATTCATTATTCTGAAAATTGATGCTTATTTTTTCTCTTTATTCTGCTTTTCTGATATGAAACATATTTCAAGTCAACTGAACAGTGCTGTGTACAAGGTGTTCTCATAACATTTACTAATAAATGTAGAGGTGGTGATATAACCAGAAAGTGATCATTTTGTAACTCTTATTAAAATAATTGGTTCAGGAAAAACTCCTACGGTTTTGGCATCCTACAGGGGACTCACATTGAAAACGTCATTACCACCTGAACCTGCTGATGATTCTTAGCATGAATCTTAGCATGACTGAAAATTCTAATCAAACATCATGGATATTTACATTTAAAGCAACAAGAGACAGTGTCACCTATGAAGTATTCTTGCCCCCCCCCAAAAAAAATAAGCCTAAATGTAAACAAGGTTTTGATTTAACTTCTACAAGAAACATAGTGGAACAAGTTAATCCCATGAACACTAAAGGACAACTGACCAAACTTCATTAATAAGACAGAGGCATGAAACAAAAATAAATAAGAAAAAATTCCTGTTTTTTTTTTATTATGAGATACAAGATATAAAACAACAAATTACAAGTGGGCTCACTTTTAGATCTGAATTAAATTAACTGCAAAATGACATAAAGAATATGACAATGAAGATAATTTGCATCTGAGTATTAAAGGATCTTTAAGGAACTACCGTTAACCGTTAGGTGTTACAATGCAGTATGGTTACTCAAGAAAGCATGCTTTAAATTTTGCTTTATTTGAGATAAACAAATATTTGGGAATGAAATGTCAAGACAAAATAAAATTGTATTAAGAATATTTCAGTGAAAAGAGAGGCTAAAGGTTTTTTGTTGTTGTTTTGAGACAGTCTTAACTCTATAACCCTGGCTAGCCTGGAACTTACTATGGAATCCAGGCTGTCCTGAACTTTGTGGCAACCTTCTTTTTTCTCACCTTCCAAATGCAGAGATTATAAGCACGAGTCACTATAGCTAGCAAGATGTTTTAAAAGTCTGACAAAAGTTGATGGAAATAGGGGTTGGAACACATGGGTTCATTAAATTTTATTTTTTAAAGATTTACTTATTTTATTTTAATGAGTGTTTTCCTTGTATGTATGGATGTAAGGTGAGGGTGCCGGATCCTCTGGAACTGGAGTTATGGATGATTGTGAGCCATATGTGGGTGCTGGGAACCAACCTTCAGTCCTTTGCAAGAGCAACAAGTGTTGTTAACCACAGAGCCATCTCTTAAGCCCCAAATTCTATTTTTGAATAGAGGTAGTA